AAACACAGGGAATCCAGGACAGATAAACCCCTTGGGGCCAACAATGAGAGTAGCAATACTAGGAGGGGAAGGAGAAAGTGGGGGAGAATAGGGGAATTGATCACAATGATCTACATATAACCCCCTCCCTGGGGGATGGACAACAGAAAAGTGGGTGAAGGGAAGGGTGAAAAAAAGAATAATTTATCAATTATCAAGGGTTCATGAGGGAGGGAGGGGGGAAAATGAGGAGCTGATACCAAGGACTCAAGTAGAAAGAAAATGTTTTGAGAATGATGATGGCAACCAATGTACAAATGTGCTTGACACAATGGATGGAGGGATGGATGGATTGTGATAAGAGTTGTACGAGCCCCCAATAAGATTAAAGAAAAAAATTATTTTGTCACAGCTTAGTAGGCTACAAGTCTGAATTCAAGATGTGGGCTGTAGGGGAAGCCTTCCTCTCCCTGCTGGCTCTAGAGAAAGGCCTTGTCTCTGTGAGCTTCTGCTTCCGGGTGATTTTCCTGTGGGGCTTTGCATCTCATTTCTTCCATCTCTGCTAGTTCATTGGCTTGCTTGTTTTATCTCTTAGCCTTCCGAAGACATTGACCCAAGATACACCCTACACTCGTCCTTTCTTATGTCTATTGCAGACAAACCATTCTCAAATAGGACTATGATCATGGACATAGAGGTTAGAAAGTACACCACCGATTTTGGAGGGGCACAATTCAATCCACAAAAAGGCATAATTGAAGAAAGACTTGGTGATGTCCCACGGAAAGATCACAACTCTGAAAACCCTACAGAGTGTCTACTCTGAAATACATAGTCACCATGAGTCAGCATCAATTTGAGAGCAACTGATTTTACCAATGTGGAACTTCTTGACCAACTAGTTGCAAAAGGTGTAGTCTCTGTACTTGACCTTAACCTACTCAATATTTTCACCAACAAGATTAAGACTTAAGAAGAAATTGTTCCAATCCTGCACATGACACATGACCTGTGAGAAGAACTTATCAATTGGATAGGAATCAAAATTCCTTCTGATGAAATTAAGGCGAAAACAAATTTAAACTCTACACTGTATAAGTCATCAGACAAGGAGAGGAGGGGGACCCTTGAAGCAACTTGAGAGATGCTAACGACAGGGTTATCAGACCGACGGAAGAGGAAATGGTGGAGTTGGCAGAGGCTGGAGGAAAAGACCGGCACATTTTTTCTGGTGAAGCCCTGCCAGGAACCCCACCTTACGTTCTCAAAAATCCACTTAAAGACAGCTTGTCATCTGATGTGTCTTCTGACTAAACCCTTGAAGAATGTTAGCTACAAGTAGAAAATTTAGTGTGAAAACGAGAATATTTCCTGAAGGACCTGAGAGCTGACCCTTTAATACTGGACAAACTGTCCTGTGAAGGAGAAGTCAGAGCATCCCTCAGAGGCCAGGTGGTTTCAGAAGAGAGAACTGAGACCCATCCGCAGGTCATAAGGACTCAGATAACGTTTCTTAAAATCGTTGCTGTTCAAAAAAAAAGAAGGATGAGCTGATATGTGCAGCTGTGCAAAAGTCCCTGCGGGTAAGTATGGTTTGCAATCTGCTACCAATCAAATGTCGACATTTAAACCTGCCCAGCAGGCTGAAGAAAGGTCTGGTGATCTTCTGTTAAAATTACAGCCAAGACGCACCTACGAAGCAGGTCTACTCTGTAACCCATCAGGTCTCCAGGAATCAGGATCGATGCCACAGCAGCTGGTTCGAGTCTGGGTTTCCTGCAATGGTGCGCTTTCTGCCACCACACAGCTAGATGGCTCCGTCAGAAAAGGCGCTTGCTTAAGGACCTGCAAACCGTTAGAGGAGTGTTTAAAACTCTGTGACACCTGCTTTATGGAGTGGTTTATTCTCTTATACACACCCACGACCTCTGAGGAGGGCGTAGTGGTGAGTTCAAGCCTAAATTCCCTTCCTTCCACTAACTCCCCACGTGATCTCAGTTAGCTCCTCACCCGAGTGGGAGGGCATCTGCATCTACATCACAGGGTTTCTGTGAGGATTAAATGAGTTCACGTACAAGACACGCTCAAAACAATACGGCACATAAGATTTGCTCCATAAAGATAGTAATTCATTGTGATTCCTCTGAAAACTTCACTATCATCCTGAATAGTCATCATTATCGGTGCTGCACACATGTGACATTTACTTGGGAATGTCACTGGAGATGATGAGGGGAATTATCATCCACGGGACTCCTGCCTGGAAGAGGTGCTGAGAGTAACTATGAAGGAAGAGTAGATCCGTATAGAGCAGGAGGGAGCAGCTGAGAAACCTTCTCTCTCTCTCTTTATTTAAAATCATTTTAATAGGGGCTCATACAACTCATCACAATCCACACGTACATCCATGGTCTCAAGCACATTTGTACATACGTCGCCAACATCATTTTCAAACCAGTTTCTTTCTACTTAAGCCCTTGGTATCAGCTCCTTATTTTTTTCCAGTCCCTCCCCCGCCCTCCCTCATGAACCCTTGATAATTTACAAATTATTATTATTTTTTCGTGTCTTGCACTGTCCAATGTCTCCCCCCACCCCCTTGTCTGTTGTCCATCCCCTGAGAGGGGGTTATAGGTAAGTCATTGTGATCTCGGTTCCCCCTTTCTCCCTTCCCCTCCTGGTCTTGCTACTCTCAATATTGGTCCCGAGGAGTTTATCTGTCCTGTATTCCCTGTGCTTCCAGTTCTTATCTGTACCCATGTACGTGCTCTGGTCTTGGTGCATGAACCCTTGTGGTTTTGAAAGTCAGCTATCCCTGCTGGTCAACTGATCTACCCCTCTGGTTAATAATAACCCCAAGCCCCCCGTCAAATGCAAGCTGCTGCCACATCTGTGTGGCTAGCAAAGGTCTGAGAGATGGATCCTGGAGTCTAGGAAGCAGCCTCCGCTGAGGATGGAACCAACTTCTCAGGTTCTTCTCCTAGATCCACAATCCGGATGGTGTTTTCCTTCTTGGAGAGCCAGAAGGCAGGGTAGACAGGCTCGGAAAACGTGCAGTCAAACTTGTGAACCAGAGTCATGGTACCAGGCTCTATGCCATAGAAGGAGAGGGTTCTTCCTGGGAAGTCAATGTATACGCCGAGCCTCCGGAAAGGGCTAGCTTTGAGCGGGGTCTCTATGTCACTGTGCCAGGCCCGGAACTCCTTCCCATTCCAATACAGGCTCCAGGAGAAGTTATTTCCAGAGATGCAGCTGTTACGCTCTTCCCCCTTCCTGTCTATGCCTTTGTAGGTCAAGCCGACATACGTGCCTGGCCCGGAGATCTCTACCTCAAAATAGTACCTGTGCAGGTACAAGCTCTGTTGTGACAGCACCTGCCGCCAGTGCAAGAACCTGCTGGGATGGTCAGGGTAGGGATGCTCCCAGGGGGTGGTGTTAGTGACCTTGCGATTGTCCTCCTGGAGCCGAAGGTATCTGTGGGCCGTGTCCGGGTCGAACGTGATATTGTAGGCATCTGAGGAGACAGAGAAAGCAGGCGGAGTGGGTCAGCAACTGACCACTGAGGCCGAGAGCACACTAGAAGCCCAGCTGGCCTCCTAAGTCTAAGGAAACGACTCCCTATTCTCTGTTTACCCAGACAATGAAGAACAAAGGTCACCCCACTTGCTTCCTCTCTCTGCCCAAATTGCTCGGCATTAACTGCATTGTTGCATCAAGAAATACTATTCATTTATTCACCCATTCATGCATTCATCCAGCAAACGTGTATTGAAGACCAACACTGACTAAGGTTTGGGGAAATAGGTACACATGCGCTCGCATTTGGTTCATTCTTTCATTTACTTAAAAAAATATGTATATATATATCTTCGATCAATATTTAATATGGTGAACCCTTGAACATTCCTTAAACATTTGTCTCCCATGTTTTCCCAACCCAGAGCATAGCACCTCCACATACCCAGTTGCTAAAGTCAAAATGAAAGTTATTTTTTGACCTATAAAATACATATTTAAATTTTTCAAGTTTAACAGTGACATAATTCACGTACCATAACATTCAATGGTTTCAATATATATTTTAAATTGTGCAGTCATCACCACAATCAATTTTAGAACATTTTCTTCATTCTTGTACTCATTACTATTAGCTCCCCACTTCCCCCAACTTCCCTTGCCATAAGAAACTATTCATCTAGGGACTGTCTCCATAGATTTACTTATCCTAGATTCCATATAATGGAAATCATACCACAAAACAAACAAACAACAACTACACACATAAAAAGAAAGAAGAATCTCAGTCCAAAAGAAATCAGAAAATAATAAAACCGAGAATCAATTTAAAATAGATCAACAGGGAAAACGAACGAGAAGGTGTTGAATTTCAACCTTACTGCATTTGAGCCCTAGTGGCACAGTGGTTACGACTTGGGCTGCTAACGGCAAGGTCAGCAGATCGAAACCACCAGCCAGGAAGACAGTCAGGGCTTTCTATTAACATAAAGAGTGACAGTATTGGGAATTCACAGGGACACTTCTACCCTTTCCTATAGGCTCACTGTGGGTCGTCATCAACTCCCTGGCAGTGAGTGTATATCTGTATTAATCCACTTTCTAATGCACTCTGCCTGAGGACAGGGCTAGTCACAACCCTGGTCAGTGGTTAGGGGGATTCATCCATCGAAGGCTTCATCACATGGGGACGCCAATCCTCACTTCCCACTTATCCTGACTCATAGAAGCAGCAGACAATCTTTTAGATCCTACCTACTTCTCTCCAGCCACGTGGCTTCAATCCCCACCGAGTCCTTGGGACACAGCACACAGATGTTCAAATAGAAGAGTACGCCAAATTGTGGGGTGAAGAATGACTTTACCACAAGTAATTTGGCCTTTGCCCTGTGTTTCGAAGAGATAACTCTACAACTTTGGAATTTCGGGAGTGATTGAGTTGCCTTTGTTATTTGGACCTCTATACCACAGGCGGGGCTTTATGCTAATGGCGGGGGGGCTTGCCGGGGGTAGAAAGACCACTACCATTACTTGGTCTGACCTCACTGGAAGGAAGGGGTTGACAATCAGTCAGACCTATGGAATGAAACCAAGGAAGGATCCGGACACGGTCTCGCTCCATGGGTGCCTGTGGGAAAGTCATGCGTCCCTGGAGTAGTGGAGGTTCTGTGTTAGAAGCCCTCTCAGATTTTGCCTTCTGTATCCCTTTTTGCTGTAATAAAATTATAATCATAAGCATAGAGCTTTCCATAAGTTCTGGGAAATGTTTCAGTACATTGCTGAACCTAAATGAGTAGTGGGAGCGAGTGGGTCATAAATGAGGGCCAGGAACTCCTGAATGTTAAGTTGGCATCCTAAAGGGGCAGTAAAGGGGCAGGGGGATCAAAATTTGTAGTTAAAAGGTTAGAATAGGAGCCCAGAGTGGCCTCTGAGCTTGCATCGGTGGTAGGGAGAAAACCCCAAATCTGTAGCCAGGACATCAGCATGAAGGTACCATGTGGCCTGGAGAGTCAGCGTCCTTTTAGCTTGTGAGATCCAACCTAACGCCCAGTAGCTATGGTGAGAGAAAGAAGCTCGGCACAGGTAGCTGGTGTCAGAACTGAGCAGAGAAGAGAAAAGGTGGATATTGATATTTTACATTTGATTGATCAACATAAGAATGGATAAAACATAAAAGTCGGTGCAAATCTTGTACCTAAAATTATTTTTGTTTAACCAGAGTTTTGCTCACTTCATTGTGTTTACATACGAGAAATTCTTCATGGTCATCCAAGAACATGTCTGGGAAAACAAGCATGAAGTCAGAAGGCACATAGTCTAGCTCTGGGTGCTACCAATGACCTGCCTGTGCCCAGCTCCCACTAGCGACTTCTCTGAGAGGACCACATTCAAAGGAGAGAAATTAAGGAGCAAAACTCAAAGTAATGAAAGAGACCAGGCTTCCTGGTCAGACAGAGACTGGTGGGGGACCCAAGACCTGAAAGGCTGCTGTTTACCTTTAAGGTGTGCAGCAGAATTCACCCCTTAGAATAACCAAGCACCTCAGCTCGGAAGGGCAGCATTTACACAGGACCAAGTTCAGGGGCCTAAGAAAGGAGGACTTGAAACAGAAAACACAGGCCGGGAACAGGATAAGTGAAGAGATGGCAACGGGTGAATTGGAACAAAATGTGTATGGATTTTTCAATGATGGGCTGCCCTGTAAACCTTTACCTAATTCACAATGAAAAGGGAGGAGGGGTGATAACCTACGAATCCTGGCGTTTTCCGCATGTCCCTCTCCCAGAGGAGCCTTTGGAGGGTTGTTGTTCCTGCAGCTAGGTGCCACCCAGTCAGCCCTGACTCAGAGCAAGCTCCTCGTGCACAACAAACGGAAACACTGCCCAACCCTGCCCGTCCTCACGGCTGGTGGTCTGTCTGAACCATTGTCGCCATTGTGTCAATCTTTCTCCTTTGGGGGAAGAGCAGATCTGGGTCTGTCTGAGTTCCAGGAAGCACTGGTATTTTTTTGAATGTCAAGGGAGTGTTCAAGGAGAAAGAGGCCAGCTTAAAAACTGGCAATTTAAGCCGAAAACTTTGAGAATTGAAATAAGCTGAGTCTGTGAAAGGCTTGTGAGGGGGAGGTGAGAAAACCCCAAATCTGCAAACAGTAGGTCAGAATGAGGGTGTCAGGTGGACGCTTGCAGCTGGAAAGTCGGGGTCCTCTTAACTTGTGATCTCTGACCTAACTCCCGGAACTGTGGCCAAAGAAGCTCAGCTCAGACCTGACTCGATGACAGTGCGGTTTTTGTTTTGTTTTGTTTAATTTTAGGAAAAGCTAAGCGAATTAGATAGAACTATACTCAGTGATATTTTATGTGAAAAATATTTTTGTAATATAAAGGAATGGACCTGGAAAAGCATATGTTTGTAAAATATAAATATGATTCTATCAGGAAGCAGGAGAGAATAAATAAAGGAAATTGTGTGGGACCCAAAAGGTTCCGGGGGGAAAATAGAAACTGGGCCAAGAACAGAACACAGTCATTAGCAGCCTAAGTCCCATACAATGACCAATAGCAAAGGGGTCCACGGTCAGGCAGCCAACGGTGACCACCGGGGACCAAGCAGAAGCAGGATTTAAGAGCATGCTCCGTAAAGCCGAATTAGCCAAATGTACTAACATGCGCACTGATCATTCTCCTTCTAGTACAGCAGTTTTCAACCTGTGGGTTGTGCCCCCTTTGCGGGTCGAATGACCCTTTCACGGGGGGTGCCAGATTCATCTCAGTAGCAAAATTACAGTTATGCAGCAGCAGTGAAAATAACTTTAGGGTTGGGGGGTCCCCACAACATGAGGAACTGTGTGAAAGGGTCGCGGCATTTGGACGGTTGAGAACCACTGTTCTAGAGGGTGAAACTTCGTGGACTTGTTCATTACAATCAAGGATTCGTTAAAATTGGCCAAGGAAAACTCTACGGCTCACAGTTGTCCAATTTCATTATTTTTAAGCCCGCCATGAATTGAGCGCTAGCACAATAATAGCTTATGACAGCTACGAGAAATACAATGTTTCTTAATAATGCTGACAGGTCAAGGCCAATGAATTATAACCAAGCCAGTGTTATAAGGGTGGCATTTAGACGGACTCTTCAAACATATTCAGGTATGAACGGGAAAGAGACCCAGAGGCTGTTGCTGATAAGAAGATAGGAAGACTTCTACGAGCTAAACTGAAGTGTGGGCCAAAAAAAGAACATTGGTGGAAAGTTTATTTTTTAAAATATAAGTATATTCATTCATAATATGTATTCATGCTATTATTTGAATCAATATCCCGTGGTCATGGAAAGTGTTAGCATTTGGAGAAGTTGCATCAAAAGGAATGACGTGTCCAAGTTTTAAAACCTTGTTGTAAGTTTAGAATTCTTTCAAAATGAAAGTGTTTTGAAAACATAACACCCAAATTTAAAAGTCTATCATTTAGAGCTAGATGGAGATTGCAAGACCTTGAAATGTGAATGGAAAAACAATCGGAGCTATTGTCTCAGCAAACCACTCCACGGACAACAACGAACGGAGAAAGAAAGCAGTTCGCAGGACTTACACTGGAGGAACTCTTCTCTGTTTCTGGGCTCCGGTCTTGAGGTCTGATATTTGTGCCGCATCACAGTAGACACTTGAGTTCTGATGTCATATTCCTCTAGAAAAGCAGAGAGTCGTAAGTGTACACCTGTCCAGGTGGCCAGGAGAACCGAATGAGCAGGATTAACATCTCTGAAAGCCATGACCCATGGACCATATTTCTCTCACGGATGAAGCAAAATAAACTGAAAAAGACCCCGAACCCACTGGATCTCACTTAGCCGTCCAGGCCTTAGGCACCTGAGAAAGTAGCCTTACACAGGCTAGTCCGTTGCCTAACTCACTTTCTCTGGGACTTCTGATAAAATAAAATTGTCGCGACGTGTCCGTTTGTATCATGGATTGGCCAGAGCCTGGTTCTAGACACAGACATTCGGGCCGATGTTGCCCTCCCTCTTCGTCCCCAGCAGCCACACACAGCACAGCCGCAGCCTGGAAACGGCCTCACCTTCCCTGGAAAACTCCCGCAGCGTTGCCTTGTAGTTCTGCAGCAGCTGGATTAAGTGGGCAGTGGAGTCTGTGATAACCTTGCGGATGCCAGAGAGCTTATCCTTCAGGCGAATGTAGACACTCGGGAACGTGCTGTCCTCTGTGGTCTTGAACTTGCAGAATTCCTGCAGAAAAGGAAACGTGGTTGTGGTTTCTGTGCTCCTTAAAGTCTCCTCATTGTATCAGTGTCTGCCACTGCACAATGGGGCTGATCGTAACAGGAACTTTACAAAGAAAGTATAGTGCAAGCATCCGGCTTGGCACCTGACAGTCCAGGGAGCATTTAGCTTTCCTGTACCCTGCTTTAGAGCTGGAAAAGGGTTTGGACATAGACAAGCATTGAAGCATTGAAGTTTCGAAGCAGCATGATGATCAGGAAAAAGTGTTTTCAGATGTTCAAATGTTAAACTTCAAGTGTAGTCAAACTACTGAAGAGCAACATGGATACAGCAGTAAACCTAGTGATGAAAACGGTTCGTATCAAAATGGCTAGACAGATCCGTGGAACTGACTGAAAAAAATCAACAAAACAGAGCATTGATAAAGAGATTGTTAAGTGTTTTAACACAGTATTTAAAAGTGTTTACATACTATTAAGTGTTTTAATAAGTGCTTTCTCCTTTAGTGAGGAGCCTTGGTGGCATGGTTGGGCAAGCGTTGAACGGCTAACCACAGGGTCAGGGGTTCAACCTCACCAGCCACCCCAAGGGAGAAAGATGAGACTGGGCTCCTACAAAGATTTACAAAGCCTCAGAAACCCAGATATGGTCGCTATGAGTCAGGATTGACTAAATGGCAGTAGGTTGGGTCTATAAATTTTGGACCATACATAATAAGAGAAACATTTTAAATTACTAGAAGAAGGGATGGATTTTTCAACACATGGTATTGGCTCAAATAACTAATGAGTTGGGGGGGGGGAAGAAATTCTATTTTGCCAAAATAAAGATTGTTGTTGTTAAAGATGCCATCGAGTTGATATCGATCCCTATTGATCCCACGTACAACAGAACAAAGCACAGTCCAGTACTGCATCAGCCTCTGTGCCCACGGTTGCCGCCACGGTATCAATCCATCCTTGTTGCTGCCCCTCTACTCTACCAAGTAGGATGTACTTTTCCAGGGACTGGTCTCTCCTGAAAACATGTCCAAGTATGTGAGACAAACTCTTGCTCATTACAGTTGTTGATGTTATAAAAATAGAAAAGATAACAAAGGAAAATTATATAGGAGGAGCTCCAAACATTTCATGGAGATTAGAATGAAAAGATAGAATTTTTCTGTGGAATTTTTGAAGCCTCCTCATATACACTCTTTTGGTAGACACTGTTGGGAAGAAGCTTAATTTTTATTCAAATTCTTTTTGTGTTTGGATACTGAAAAGCAAAAGAATGGACGGAAAGGGGAACATTCTACCAATGATTGTGTCCACCTTTCTCAGTCAATTCTCAATTTCTTTCACTTATTAAAATGTTAACTATAGTTATCTCTCAGTGAAGAAATTATAGGTGATTTTTCTCCTTCACATTTTCATGTATTTTCCAAGTTTTTCACAATAAAACCCTATGTTGGTTGTCGAGAAGGAAAGTTTTTAAATGAAATCAAGGAAAATAATTTGTATTTATATATATTAGAAAGGCAAAAAGAAAAGGCATTCTGGTGGTGCAGCGGGCTAAGCGTTTGACTTCTAACGGAGAGGCTGGCAGTTCAAACCCACCAGCCACTCCAAGGCAGAAAGCTCCAGCTGTCTGGAGGCGGTCTAGTCTGTTCTTTGGGGTCTGTGTGAGTCAGAATCAAGGCATGGCAACGAGACTTTGGTTTATACATATTGGAAAAGGAGGAGTTTGGGAATTACTTGATCCAACGAGCTCAATTGATAAATAAAGGATTTGAGCCTCAACAAAGAGAAGAGACTGTCTAAAAGGCACCCAGTACTTAGTGATTGAGGTGAGTGGTGGTTCAGTGATAGAACTGCTGCCTTGCAAGTAGGAGGCCAGGTTGATTACTGGCCAATGCACCTCATCTGCAGTCACCCCTGGTCATCAGTGGAATCATATATTGCTATGGTGCAAAGGTTTCAGCAGAACTTTCAGACTAAAAGAGTCTAAGAAGAAAGACCTGGTGATCGACCTTTTAAAACCAGCTGATAAAAGTCCAATGGATCATGCTGGTCTGATTCATACTCCACCAAGGAGATGACATAGGGTGGCACTGAGTTTTGTTCTGTTGGCCCTCCATTAATGGGGGGGGGGGCAATTCTACAGCAACAATAATATTCAGGGACAGGTTCAGGCTGCTGGGCCTCACAACCAGAACAGTGCTCCTTCCCAGCAAGACTCCCTGTTCTCATTAGCTCCGTGGACTAATGGGTCATGCAACCATCAGTCTCCACACCGAGAGACCAGTAAAACTAGATGGGATCCAGCCTCCAAAAATATACTACTAACCGCTCTGAAAAGGTTCGCATTAGAGGGTCCTGGATTGAGTGGGAGAAAAATGTGGAACAGAACTCAGAATCATAAAAGGGATCAGGCTTACCGGTCTTAAAGAGATTGATGGGCTCCCCAAGTCCTTTGCGCTCTCTCAGGCCTGAATATAAAACTGATGACCTGCTTTGTAAACCCTTCACATATTTCATAATTAAAAAAAAAATTTTAAGACTCCGTTCTGTCCAGATCTGATTCTAAGGGGACAGCACATACTGTATCACGGTACATTATAATGAGAAAGCCCTCCCTCAGCCACCCCAGTACACTACTATCCCTGAGAGGCAGCAGGTCTCCTGCCTCATCCCTACTATACGATTACCACCAGATAAACCTGCTGTTTATCAAACTGAACTGCTGTGATCACATCATCATCAGCCCTGGACTGAGGATTACGTTGTAAAGACCACGCTGGTCAGGTCATGACATGTTCATGCCTGACTGGCACTGCAGCCTAACATCATAGCATCTTGGGCTCCACCCTCGCTTAAGTGCCTGAGTTCTCTGCACGGCTGTTCCCGAACATTCTCTTGCTTGGCTATTACTCATCTTCTAAGCCTTCTTCATCCTGATGACTGAAGATCTGTTCCCATAGCGCCCTGCCCCCCCTGCGTACTCCACTTATTACAAGCCGTTTCGTGGTCCCTTACAGATCTGCCATCCCACTGGGCTGTCTTTGGGAGTAGGAACAGGTCTTCATTGACTCGATGACCAGATTTCTAGCACAGGCCAAGGAGAGCATGGATGTTCCTTGGGGCCATTCACGCGGATTCCTCCTCTGGCCCCTCTCCTCCCCCTTACCTCCAGGAACAGGACCGTGTTGCTGATGGAGGCCACCATCTCCAGCTCCTGCTTACTCTTCACGATTCCTGCACTCTTGTGTTCCAGGTGGGCCTTGATGCCGCTGGTCTGGCTGAGCGCAGCCTGCTCCTTTTCCTCCAAGAAGAGCATCACGTCAGCCTGTGCCTTCCTCACGGCTGCTAGCAGCTCCCCAAACTGCTCCTCGGCCGCCACCTTCACTTCTGAGACCGACACCTCATGGGGGAGACAAAGGCCGCCAAGAACTGGTGAGTGAGCATCCAACTTTACCGGAACTCAAATAAAGAAACACGTATAAAGATGTTCTGCGACAGAAGGAAACTCATGCTCAGGTGAACTCTGGGTTCCCTGAAAACAACAATTTACTCCCTGGGTGGTGCAAGCAGTGAACCCACTTGGTGGTTCACCAATAGGCTGGTGGTTTGAGTCCACCGTTGGTGTCTCAGAAGAAAGGCCTGGCAATATACGCCCCCACCCCCAAAAAAAAATCAGCATTGGAAACTCTGGGATACAGTTCCACTCTGACACACGAGGGCATCATGATTTACAGCTCACCCAATGGCAACTGGTCTCCAGGGTGTAGATACGTATTTGCCAATCATTGACTTGGTCTTCTCACTCTATGATAAGAGATTGGATTATTTGACCTTTGAGATCTCTCTGGCTCTGACAAGTTGGGGCCGTTATTCAGATCGCTAACATTAATTCAGCTGCTAGTTCTATTTCTGACAGCAGATACTGATTTGACTTTTCAATGCCAATCCATGGCGTGAATCCGTGTTTTGAGCATTTCATTTTGCCTGCTTAAGCTGACCTCTTGTTCCATCAGAGCCCAAATCAGGGATCAACCTACAATGTCTCGGTCAGACACAAAGTCCCCACAATCCTCTAGGGAGAGAGAAGAGGACCAGGCCTCACACACTGGCAGAGGAGCAGGCCTGTGCAGAGCGGAACGTCACAGTCAGATAAGCCACAGAACGAAAGCAATGTGACAGATGTTGATGCTCTGCATGATCACGTTTGTGCACGTGGGACGTACTCAGGGAGACAGTCTTTTCCAGAGGCCTTTAATAAAGATTGTGTTTACTGAGTCAATCAAGCCCAAACCACGAAGAGCCTAAAGAAAGTACTGTAAGCATGTGACATGAATATCTCAGAGCGCCTAAAACAAAACCCACGGCCATCCCAGTGCATGGAGATCCTGTAGATGGCTTCTGAGACTGCACATCTTTACAGAAGCAGGCGGCTCCAACTTGCTCCCATGGAGTGGCTGGTGGGTTTGGCATGCTGACTTGGAGATTAATAGCCCAACACCTACCCCACAGTCATACCAGGGCTCCTCCTAGCACCCTAAAATGGGTAATATTATAGGTCACTTTCTCAGGTAAGAAAACGGAGACACCAAAAAAAATTTTTTAAAAAGTAATTTCCCCCCCAAAATTATGGTGTTGGAAAGTCCCTGGGGTCATTCAACTTTGTCCGATAGGGTCACTATGAGTAGGACTAGACCCAACAGCAATTGGTTTGGTTTCATAAGATTATATGGGAAAGGGACACACACAGACACACACATCCTCTGTTGTTGAATCAATTTATGGTGAGCCCAAATGTTGGAGAGCCATATCAATCAATTTATGGAGAGCCCAGAACTGCTCTCATAACTAATCTCTTTTCCTTTTAAATCATTTTATTGGGGGCTCATACAACTCTTATCACACTCCATCCATCCATCCATTGTGTCAAGCACATTTGTACATTTGTTGCCATCATCATTCTCAAAACATTTTCTTTCTACTTGAGCCCTTGGTATCAGATCCTCATTTTTTCCCCCTTCTCCCCGTTCCCCCTCCCTCATGAACTCTTGATAATTTATAAATTATTATTATTATTTTGTCATATTTTACACTTCATAACTAATTTTTACAGAAGCAGATTACCTGACCTTTCCTCCATACCACTGCTGGATGGGTTTGAGCCAGCAACCTTTAAGTTAGTAGTTGAGCACAAACCATTTATACCACTCATGGCCCTTGTGGAAAGAAAAGAGAGTTTTTAAAGAGCTTTAAATGAACGCATATATTATATGTGCTGGATAGATGGATGGATGGACAGACAGACAGGTAGATGAATGGACAGGTACGTGGTAGCAGGAATCATTCTTGGTATACAAGGATGGTACCACTCTTTTGCATTCTCTTAAGCTTGCCACAAACAACAGCAATTTGTGGAACTATTGGCATCTACTTTATTTAGTTTATTTAGAAATGAGCCACCAGTTAAGGAGACTAAAGCTCAATGGTCAATTGCACCGGTGGTCTTATCATGGACCATCCAAGAGCCCAGCAATTCTCAACAGTTTGTTTCCCTTACCACCACCACCATCACTGCTATGGAATATTCAAGGTATCCTGGTCAAACCCACTAGCTGCTTCTCAGAAGAAAGATGAGATTTTCCTCCCCCATAAAAATGTACAGCTTCCCAAACCCCAAAAGATGGTTCTACTCTGCTCTCTAGACTTGTGATGAGTCAGAATCAACTAGATGGCAATGGGCTTCAGGTGGCACGGTCCCGGTGAGAATCCAATGCCTGACACCTGTATAATGGAAGACACCAAGAGTATGCATAATTCCCAGAGAATTAGCTAAGCAGCACCCACACACACCCACATCCACAACATTCTCCTTGTTGAGAATGCATGTGCAAATGGAAAAATAAGAAGGCAATTGTTATAGGACTAATCTGAGCCCAACTCTACATTATTACAAACCATTCATTTACCAGCTTTGAAACTTCAACTATTTTCATACGATAACAAATTTCAACAGCAAGGTGACACTTCCCCATGCTGCAGCAGACCTTACCTACAATTCCCAAATAGCTAAGCCACCCAAGGGGCCTGTGGACTCGGAGACTAGGCCCGCAGCCCCAGCCCCCATCTCTCCGTCAGCCCAGCTGACCCTGTAGCAGCAGCCGGCGGTGCAAAAGCCTGCCCGGGCACCCAGCACAGCCTTACCAACACCGATTTCTGGTTTGTCTGGAGTCTGGCAATGGCATCTTCATTCAACCGGAGTTTCTGCTCCAGGTCAAACTGGATGGACCGAAGTTCCGCCTGGTAGGGAGAAAAAGAGATTGTCCTTTACATGGGGGTTCATATGTACCCAGCAGTACCGTAGAGGAAAGGCCTGGTGGTCTAGTTCCAAAGCCTCATCACTGGAGAATATGTGGAACATGACACACATGGGGTCTCGGGGAGATGGAATGGACACTAGGAAAACTGGTTCTATAGTTTTCTGTTCCAAACTCCTCCTTTAGAATAGTAGCCGAAGCCTGAAATGCGCCAAGGCTTCCTGTGGAGTTCAAGTGCCTTCTTTGATAGCAGGCACTCGTCCGGCTGTCCAGCCAAGAACACACAGGGAATAACTTCCCGATTATAGAGTGGCGTTTCCATCAGAATCGCGAGAACTTCATGAGTCCCAACTGTTTTTTTCTTTTAAAAAAAATCAGTAAATGATGTCATTCATGTGTGTCAAAATAGCAGCGTCTCCTTTGGGTCCTCGCTCTTGCTGTTTCCCTCCCTTTTTTATTGTCATGTGGGTGAATGTTCAGAGAGCAAATCGTCAGTTTTATAGCCAGCAGCTTACACACGCTTGGTTTCAACTCATCCGTTGCAAGCCTCTGATGAAAAAGTTTGGACAAGTTTCCTTAACATCTCTAACCCTCTCTTTCTTTCCCTATGGGCGAGAGACAAGAGTCCCTATTTCATAGGGCTGCGGTGAGGATTCAGTGAGATACTATGTGTTGAGGAACAACTAAAACTAGGACCTGGCACCTTTGCAAATGCTCCAGAAATGTTAGCACTTGTGACAATTACTATTGTCTTTGTCACTGCCCCCCTGGTAGCTTTCATTGTGTATTCTCTATTCTCTCAGAGAGTCAGGCACAGAGAGCACCCTCCACCCTCTCACCGACACCACTCCTACCTCTCAAGTCCCTCCCAACCCCCACCCCGCTCACTGCCCCATCTAGGCAAGTGCCTGTCTGAGAACCAGGGCCTGCCTGCTTTGACTCCACAGCCACGCAGCACCTGCCTCCGAGAATGAACGCCCTAAGCGCTTTCTGCCAAACCATGCGGCAAAGCACAACATGCAATTCTCTCCAAGCATCAGCGGCCCCCTGCTTCCACAAGGGCATGAGACAGCAAAAAAGAGATAGAGAGAGAGTTTCAACTGCTCTAATAGCTAATGTGCGCAGTATTCTCTGTGAGTCATTGTGCCCTATAAAAACTCAGAGGGCATACATTAAATGTCCTCCTCTTCTCCCCTTGTAAAGTAGGGCATCCCAGGTCCTCTGGGGAGGGAGGGGGCTGGCGGGGCACTCACAAAACACTCTTCAGAAGGCAGGGAAGCTGACTCAGGTCAGATACCCAGACCTGAAAGTGGCATCTGAAGCCTACGCTGAGGTCCAGGAGTGGGGAGGAGAGCAAGGCTGGCTGGTTGGAGATAATGGTGGACCTTAACCAATGCCAAGTTCACCTAGTGAGCCACCCCAGGGGTGGGAGCAAACAGGGACTGCGTGTTTACAGATGATAGGAGACAGAACACATCCCAGTAATGGGCACCTGCAGCGTGGCTCCTGATGAACACGGCCGTAGAAGGTGGTTCAAAGCTACCTTCCGCAGCATGATTCAAAGCTGTGAAGAGGCTTCTCTCTCTCTGCCGGCTCCAGAGCACCGTAAAAGGAGAAAAGCTCCTCCGCGGAGCTAATGAGGACGTCTCTGAGTGAGTCACCTGAGACAGGGCACTCATCCGCATGCCACAAGGTAGGACGATGGTGAAAAGCAGGTATCTCCAGTTATTCCTGTTCCAGGGAAAGCGCAGGTGCCTCCGAATGCGGTTCATGTTTCCCCAGGATGTTAGCCGTCTATAGCTCTCAGGTCATGATGAGCCTGCGCAGAAGAAGGGCAGTGATGCCGATGGACAAGACAGGTGGCTGCCGTGGCACCAGCTCCAGCTCAAGGCAACCCGATGCGCGACAGGATGAAATGTTGCTGCATCCTGTGCCGTCCTCACACTCCCGAGCCATCTCATGGAGCGTCTCCTTCGCCCGCTCTGGCCTTCCGTTTCGCCAAACATGACATCCTCCAGCAATTGATCCCTCCTGGTGATGTGTTCAGAGAAAATGAGTTGTGATCCGTAGGGTTTCCAGTGAATGCTCTTCAGAAGTAGATCACCAGGCCTTTCTTCCTTGTCTTAGTGTGGAAGTTCTGCCAACACCTGTGTGCCACGGATGATCCTGCTAGCACATGGAAAACGGTTGACACACCTGCAGGCATCATAGTAATACATGAGCCACCACAGTACGACAAACTGAGAGATGGGTGGGTGGTGGCCCTGCATGCCCAGATGGCCACATATGGAGAGTCCTGCCTAGGTCAGCAAGATAATACTCAATATTGTACAAAAAACTCAATGTAATTCCCTGCCGTTGAGTCAGTTCCAACTCATAGCAACCCAAAGCACAGGGTCGAACTGCCCCTGTAGGTTTCCAAGACTGTGATTCTTTATTAATGACAAGACTGTGATTCTTTATTAGAAAACCTCATCTTTCTCCCACAGAGTGGCTGGTGGTTTTGAAATGCTGGTCTTGCGGTTAAGCAGCCCAGTGCGTAACCACAATGTCGTCAGGGCTCCTCGGTATTGCACAAAGGACACCCTTCAGAAGTCGATCACCAGGCCTTTCTTCCTAGTCTCAGTATGGAAGCTCTAATGAGGACTTCTCTGAGAGAGTCACTGGAGTCAGACCTTGCCGGTTGATTGGATAATCTGGGACAAATCATTTTACCATTTCTCCTGTGGTGCTGGGCCGCATAAACATGTTACAGAATGGTTCTTCTTTCTATCTATAGAACAAAGGTGGTACTCAGAGCATGGCACTCAGTATACGTGAGGACAGGAGACGGTGATAGGAGAGAGAAGAAACTCCACATGGTGCCAGTTCTTTTGTATTTCCAACCAAGCAGAGTCAGCATGCAGTAGTCAGGGCCCAGCATGCTACCTCCACTCCTTAGTCCATTGGTCAAAACCTATGACATGCCAGTTCCGTCAAATAAGATGAAACCCGTGAAAAGATTAAACTCATGAAAAACCTACAGTCTGCTAGAATAGTGTTTAAGAAGAAAGGTCGGGGGCGGTACTTAAGGGCAGATCCAAGCCGTTCTGAAGAATTTCTAGAAGAAATTCTTTATCTGGGTGACCTCAAAGGATCTACCTTCTGGCTTCCTGGGTTGTACATCATGCAGGTTACCCTGGACTCCACGTGGAGCGCAGCTACCGCACAGATTGCCCAGGTCACGTTCAGCCCTGACTGTCCGGAACCAGGGCTGAAAGTGAATGACGGACGAGTCCTGTCACTTGTGGATTTTAAAGACCTAAGAAAGAATCTAAGATAAAGTTGGGTCTTTCTTCCTCCAGGAACACTTCCCTGGCATTCTCACCCCTGGTGAGTCTCCGTCCTCAGAACAGGCAGCAATTGCTTTCTAACTGTCCTTGGGGATTTGTGGAAAGCGTTACAGTCTCAGGAGGCCACCGCGCCTGTCCTACTCTGACCTCTAGGGTCACCGTACAGCAGAACCAACTCGCTGCAGTGAGTTTGGCTGTTTGGTTTGGTTTGGATATGTGTACTGGCTTCCTGATTGGAAGTCAAGATTCCAAGGACAGACAATGCAGCCCAGCACGCATCCCAAAGTCCGACTCAACAATGTTTGATAAGCTTGAAAATCAGGGAAGACCGGCATATACTTTGTGGGTCAGAACAAACAGAAAAGTTCGGCCACAGAAAAATACCCTCTCTTATAATAGACACACGAGGTCGCATTTTCCAAAAAGCCTGACTCGAATCCCAAGAAATGGAAATGAGCTGCTGCTTCCGGCAAGGACAGCTGCTCTTAAAGATAGAAGGGTCCTCATCTAGCTCAGAAGCAACAAAGCCCACATGGGGGAAGCACACCAGCCTGTGCGATCACCAGGTGCCAAAGGGATCAGGTATCAGGCATCATCCGAACAAAAAATCATATCATTGTGAATGAGGCGGGAGTGTGGAGTGGGGACCCAAAGTCCATATGTAGGCCACTGGACATCCCCTTACGGAAGGGTCACTTGTGAGGAGACAAGCCGGTCAGGGTGCAATGTAGAAACAATGAAACGTACAACTTTCCTCTAGTTCCTAAATGCTTCCTCCTCCCCCACTATCATGATCCCAATTCTACTTTACAAATCCAGCTAGACCGGAGGATGTACACTGGTACAGATAGGAACTGGAAACACAGGGAATCCAGGGTGGATGATCCCTTCAGGACCAGTGGTGAGAGTGGCGATACGATAGGGTGGAGGGAGGGTGGGGTGGAAAGGGGGAACTGATCACAAGGATCTACATATAATCTCCTCCCTGGGGGACGAACAACCGAAAAGTGGGTGAAGGGAGACGTCGGACAGGGCAAGATATGACAAAAATAATAATTTATTAATGATCAAGGGTTCATGAGGGAGTGGGGAGGGAGGAGGGAGGGGGAAAATGAGGAGCTAATGCCGGGGGGGCCTAACTGGAGAGCAAACATTTTGAGAATGATGAGGGGGGAAAAAAAAGAGTAAACTGCCAAATATACTTGATGCGAATTGAAAAACAAAAAAATGGAAGGATCCTCAGGAAGGTGGCTGGGGCAGACGCAAGTACTGAGATCGATTAGGAACAGCCAGCCTCCAAAGGCAAGAACCTCTCTCAAAAATCCACAAAGAGGTTTGCCCGTCGGCCTGGCTAGGCACCATGGCAGCTTCAGAAAGGACTCACTTGATTAAATGAGGCATCAATCGCCCTGTGGATCCTAAGCAGGATCTCACCTGCTTTGCACCCTCCTAACATCCTCTGTCATGTGTCCCTACCTATGCACAGCATAGGGTGGGACCTATGATTAATATGCTCAGCTGCTAACTGGAAGGCTGTACGTTTGAGTCCCCTGGAAGGAGCCTTGGGAGAGGGACCATGTGATTGACTTCTGAAAACTCAGCCACTAAAACTCCTGGGCGTACAGTTCTGCTCTGACACACGTGGCCTCCTATCATGAGTTGGAATTGATTTGACGTGAACTGGTAGGCTCAACATGCCTGTTTGCCTAATCAGCCTTCGGCACATTCCAATGTGACCTTCAGTAAATAAATGCAGCCCACGTGGTCCAGTGCAAAGGAGACCTCGCCAAGTGTGACAAACTCTTCAAAATAAGCCCGGGGGAAGGTGCAGCACCATCAAGGCAGTATGTCTTCTGAGTGGTCTTCTGCTTGCAACCAGTAGCTTCTAGATTTGGAGCGTAGCTGAGTTAAGTGTAACTACACTTACGGTGCAGACTTGCTCTCTGAGCTGAAAAGGACTCGGATAAAGAGGACATGAGCTCTCTTATGCTGCTGTGAACTGGGGCCATCCCTTAACATTTAGGGTCAGAGGCCACGACACTGAAGCTATAGCCCTGGCAGCTTTTTAGGGTTAGCAATCTGCCCCCCAGAGCCCCTTCCCAAATGGTCATGCTTTGGCTTTACACAGCGCTCTTCTAGGATGTCTGGATTTGGGATTTTGACCGAGATCTGCACAACTATTACCCACTCTCAGTTTGAATTACTTAAAGTATCTGTAATATAGTAGGTGTCCTACCGTTAAAAGTTACATTTTAGAGACGTTGGTCTAGGCATAGGGCACTTTTGAAAGGAAGCTAAAAAACTAAGAACGGTGTTTATTTCTGGGGAGGGAGACGTGGGGAGCTGGGATGGGAAGGAGAACTAGTTCTTGTTATAATCTATTGCAATGTTTGGTGGAGATTATCTTTTAACGGGTATGTGGCTTTTCCAGATGAAAATATTAAAATTCAGATATTACACCCCAGAAGAGAAGCGCGATACATCCCTGGTATATGTGCAGCAGGTTTTTGGTGCCTAAAACAAGGGGGCTACACCCTCCGGGGAAAACCAAAATTAGACTTGGGAGACAAAGTGTGGCACCCCATCAGACTTGACTGGAAAACACTTGTAAAGGCCAACAAACAGACCTTGAACTACTTACAGGCTTTTCCATTTTTGTCAATGGCTTTCTTTTTGTTATTATTTTGTTCTTGATTTTTGCTGTTGTTGTTATTATTTTGGTGGTTTTGACTTCCTTTGTTGTTTTATTTGGCTTTGCCCGGTTTTTGCACTTATTAATGTAGCTGCATGTCTATCTAGATAAGAT